TCAGGGTCACTTTCAACGCGGACGTGCATTCCAGCATCCAGTGGAACTTCAAGCCCCAGCAGAGCGAAATCTACGTGAGTGCCCTGGTTGTCAGCCTCACACCGAACCGCGTACGCCTGCAGGCGAAAGCGTCGGGTTTTGCCTCCTCCGTTTTAATCGCCTCGCGTCCCCATCACGCAGATCCATGGCTGTGCATAGCTGGGCCCCGATCTGGAAGAACACACAGCTGGGGCACGTAGTCCACAGTGCTTTCGCAGTACTTCCAGTTAAGAATTTTATATACACCATGAAGTGTGTGTGTGTGTTTGTATTAAAGATATATATGGTGTAGCTGTGTATGTAAACCTGTGCGGTTTTGCCAGACTTTCCCCCTCGTACTTTCTATTCTTGCCCCTATCATTGTAGGGCTGGTTGTTCACTTAAAAAAAAAAAAAGAACATTTTAATCTTACTTTACTGTTTAAAATTAGTTCTTAATAAAAACTCAAAAGGAGTCGTGCTTCTTAATTGGTTTCTGAGTCCCGTACTGAAAGAATTACAACCTCAAAAAGTAAATGTACACCATATAAATCTGCATATTAAAAAAGCTTTGTATGCTGCTAAACTGCTGAGAATAATAGAAGTCTCATTGGCAAACTGGGTAAGATTAAAAATGCACACATATAACATTACTGGTGCTTTTATTTTGAATGGGGGTGAATTGTCTATAAGCAAAATATTTGTGAAGTAGTGAGGTAACCAACTTCAAACGGCAAAAGAGAAAATGAACTAATTCTAGCTAAAGTCCAAATTACTCTGAGGGGTGGAGGGCTGCAGTGGATTAAAAAAATCTCCTTTTTATACCACCTACTTTATACAGGTGGTACCAGGAGAGACCGCACTGGCATTTTATAAAGCGAAAAATCCTACGGACAAACCAATAATTGGAATCTCTACCTACAACGTGATACCCTTTGAAGCAGGACAGTATTTCAATAAAATACAAGTAAGTGTGAACAAAGCAAAGATTACATTTCCCTTAACATGAATGAGATTAATTATCCATAAATTAACTTTCCTACTTTGTATACCAACATTTTAAGAAAATACCTTGATTTTTTCAAATGACAGTGCATTCTTAGCCTTACTGTCTTCATAACAAGCTGCAGTACACGTCCAATTAGAGTGGCTCGCAAATACATGCTATTTGGTACCACTGATGTTGAGGGCAGATGGTAACTATGTGAGTTAGCCTGGCCAATGTGCACATTTGGACACTTCATTAAAAGCTAATTTTTTTTTCCTGTAAGACAAGAGGAACAGAATTGCTGTCTTGTTGCTCATATGGTTGATCCTTCTCGGGATTTTAGGGACGTACGGGGAATGAGAGTTGATTTTAAAAGATGAAACTTCCTCTCATGTCGGCAGAGAGAAAGTTTACCATAGCTATATTGCTGTCTAATTGTTTGGGTTTTTTCCCTCCCCCCTGCAGTGTTTTTGTTTTGAAGAACAGCGGCTAAATCCTCAAGAGGAAGTGGACATGCCTGTCTTTTTCTACATTGATCCAGAATTTGTAGAGGACCCTAAAATGGCTAAAGTTGATTTGATCACCCTCTCTTACACCTTTTTTGAAGCAAAGGAAGGACAGAAGTTACCGCTTCCCGGATATCAGTAACGGGCAGTCTGTACACCATTTGACTTCTGCTACCTGACTACTAGTGGAAGGAAAACTGCAGGAGTACTGTGCAATATGAAATTATATTATTAAACCACCATGGGCATATGCTGCTGTTATGAAAGGATATATTTCTGTTAAAAAAACCCAAAAAACAACAACAAAAAAAACAACACAAAACCAACAAAACTTACATAGTTGGAATATTATTTCTTAGGGATAGTATTTCTTCATCAGACAATAGAAGGGAACACACTGTTCCTAGAAGAGAGAGGGTTTTCTCAAGCCATCTTTTTATAAGATGATACATGTTATCTGAATACTGTGAGGCAAATTTTTAAACCCAAGTGTAAATTGAGATCTTCATTTAAATATAGAGGAACAAATCAGTTTATTAAGCATCTAAAATTGCATTGCTGGCTCTGAAGAATAACTTCCATATAAGTTACTTTATAAAAAGGTAAAAACAGGTAATCAGTTCATGAAATCTCAAAACTAAAGAAAGTTAGACTGTATTGCTATGTAACCCTCCCATGGCACAGGAGGATATGATGATTCAGAAGATGATGCACCCTCTTGAATTATTACTGAATCAGTAGTTCATTTGGTAAGAGCAGACTGCTCTCAAACTGTTATCATTTGAATGAGGAACAGTAATTTAAATGTAAGCATGTCAAATCTGTGGTATGGTTTCCATTTAAAAATACCATCTTCAAACTTCCATGTTGTGTTCAACTCATTTAAAGTACCTGTACCGCTAATGACTGCTCTTTTACTCCGCAGAGGGCTGTACACTGGGCACCTCTACACAGAGACAAGCTCGGCTTACGTATGAAACGCTTTGAAGGGAAAGGCAGTACATAAACAACTGCTCTAAACTGCAGGCTAAACTAATAGCATAGGAGTCTCCTCAAAAACCAAAAGGAAACCAAACCTATTCAGAGATTAAGTCTGACAAAGCCTGCCCAGAAGCGTATTGGTTGTTCGGGGTATCCTAGGTACTCTGTTTACCATCAGAACACGTAAGCCTGTATTTATGTAACTTTTGGTCATTATCTGTGGGGTAGGGATAATAACGCTTTATCATAGCTTTGCAAATGAGGAATGAGTTGCAAAGCAAGTTTAAGTGACCTACTCATTTTCAGACAGGAATTAATTTCAGCCCAGTATCTCATCTGCTAGGCCAGTTCTTTCTACCCCTTTCAGCAGATGAGAGCTAACAAAGTTAAGACTAATGTTGGTTTGTTTGGACTCTAAAAAGGTAATGGTATATCAGATACAACTTCCAGTTACTTTAGTCTCAATTACGTTTGCGTCCCATAATTTAAAAAGTGCTTTTTTGAAAATAAATGGATGCTACCTTTAAAATACGTTATTGTACCAATTATGTGTGTTGTTTAAATAGATTCTGGATGACACTCATGTCAAGCCTTCACTGTGTATTTATTAAAGTTTTAAAACTTTTCATTCTTTCATCTCTCTAATGCATTTTATCCAGCAGAACATGTGGAGCCCACACAAGTGAAATACATCTGTATGAAGATAGCAGCAAGCTATATAATCTGTAATTCCTAGTTATGCTTCAGGGAAAAAAAAAAGAGTATCAAGACAAATCTTTGAATCCGGGGAGGGGGGGGAAATACTCTTTTGGGTTTTTTTTAGTCCATTTTCTTTCTGAAAGTTGACCTGATCATGGGAGTTTTCTACACATTGCTTTATTCTGGCCACATGCTTCAGAAGAAAAAGGGTATCCCCCTGGCAAGTGCCAGTTTCATAAAAATGTGGGGGTTTCCCTGAGTTTGAAAGCTCAAGTTTGCACAGATGATAAGCATGTTCCAACCATAAAACAAGCTCTCTAACCTCAGTAATTATGCAGTTCCCTTCAGAGCTTTCGTCTGTGACCATTTTGCTTCTCTAAATATGGAAAAGTTCAGTTAGCAATCATCCATTATGGATTACTGTATTGAAATACCCTATTTATTTTTTTACACTTCAGTGTGCTAGGGTTTTAACAATACAACTAAAAAGAAAAATCGATCTACCTCAAATCCTGTTTTCAGCAGTTTTCTCAGGCTGCTGTCCAGACCATTGCAAACAATAAAAGAAAAATAATAATAAAGCAGCTTACCTTTTCACCTCTGCTTACAAAAACCCCCAAACTTCTTCAAGGTTGTGTTTTTGATAGAAGGTGTTCTTAATGGTCCTACAGCAAACTGCAAAATTGCTAACTATGCAATGAAATGCCATGGATTCACACTTAAATACCTTCAATACTGTCTACATTTGGTATTTCATGGAATACGTCGTCATCTGGTAAAAACTCAGAAGTGATGGGGGTTAACTTCTCAGTAAGCATTTGCTTTTATTTGGAATTTTATGCTACAAATATTGCATAACAGACTGAGAACTTACCACTTAAACAGTTAACATAATGAACATGTAAAATGCAGTATTTCACAAAAAATAAGCTTATCAGCTATGAACATGTACTAAGTTCTCAAATTTTGTATCAATTATAAATTCAGAGAACTATACCTGTTAAAGTGCACATTTTACATTCAGCATTAAAATAGATAAGGCACTTCAGTTATTAAGAGATAAAACTGTTATTAACAGGGTTAAACAACTTGATTAAAATAAATGAATAACTATTGCTCATCTGCATTGTAGATGATTATTTTTTCCTTCACCAGAACAGCAATCTCTGCAGGGCAGGAACATTGAAAGAAATGATTGATTCCCCTCCAATATTTACTGAGTAAATAAAAGCAACAACAACATAGGAACAAGCAGGGTTTTTTCTGCTCTGTTAAGCAGGGATGACGGCACCTCATGTCCTAGCTTAGGTTCCAACTGACAAAAATCCAACTATATTGCAAGCTTTTAGGAAGAAAACAAAATCTGTATTCAGAATATGAATGTAGGAAAGTAACACTGCATGTCTTCAGACGATTCTATCAAGAGGCCCAATTTTAGAAAAGTCCTACATATCAATACCCCCTTATAAATTTCTAGGGAGATTAACACAGACAGCAACAAGGCCAAAATAGAAATTGGATTCTGCAGTTTCTGTAAACATAACATTCTGGTTTGTTTGCTGCATAAAGGGGTAAAGCAATACAAAAGAACAGATAACCCGGAAGAAAAGCTTTCTTCTACGGTTTCAAGAGTCCTTTTTGTTTACTTGTGTCAGGTGTCAAGCGTTAACTTCATACGCAGGTGAATTTGGAAATCATACTTTAAAGGCCCCAGAAATACTTTAAAAATAGTCATGCAAGTCACCTTGAAGAACACACAGTTGAACATTTAGGACAAGTTATCAAGGTGTAGATCCAAGTAACTTTTCAACTTCCACACAGCTTAGTATTCCAATGCTTATTGTTTGTTGTGTCAAAAGACAAAACGTGTTCTGTTATTCACTTGTATGTTATAGGAAGCACTGCACAGGACCAACATCAGAGAGTAACATGTGTTTAGTAAAAGGCTTCACCTCCACCTTCAGCATTCTGTATTCTTTTTAACTTCTGTCTTCAGCACGACATCAATTTCTTCATAAATAGCTCTGAAAGAAGAGGAACAGGGCAACTCCTACATCACAGTTGTTTCAGTTCGACAAAATGCACGAATGAAATCCTGCTCAAGCATGAACTGCCAAGAGTTTATTAGTGTTTGCCTAACAGAGTAGCATCAGTTGCAGGATGCCCAGGTTTCCATGGAAACAAAGAGCCAATCCTGCGGTGTGTCTGTGATTATACATTTAATGAGATACCTCCGGACATTGTCACTTTTGATGAAATAAGTTTGGGAACAGGACTGCAAAACCCAAATGGCAAGCATACCACATGGCATGCAATTACTGCACTAGTTAATAAATAAATAAAGCTTAGTTCGATGGTTCCTTGGAAATAAGTTTGCAATTTACTGGTAGAAAGGAGAGTTCTGCCATACGTTTAGCTTCGTATCAGTTTTCTGACTATTTGGCCCTCTGGAGAGTCCCAGCATCCATTCCCTTTTGTAGCTTATATTTAAATGGAGGATTTTCTTGATATGCAGTAGAACAACATTCTTAAAAATCACGATTGCTGTGAACAGGAATTACTTTGGTTACCTTGCTCCAGAACTACCTGTGCTGAAGTGTCAATCAGCTTCCTCCACCAGGACCCTTACCATGTTTTATTCACCTTTTCATATCACTGAATGGGATTTTAGTAGATTGTTTTTGACACAGCATTACTCCACCATTTTTACAGATGCTGTTCAATGAACACACCATAGGAGTTTATTCCTTAATTGGTTATGCTAGAAATATAGGAAGAAATGTACAAAATGCAGCCACTCTCATTTACATTAGCAATCCAGTTGGTCAGCTAACCCAGTCTAAATAGCATGGTCTGTTTTCTCACTCAGAAGAAAAAGCCATCTCAGAAGCCTTCTTACCTTTGGCACCTAAGAAAACTGTGTATTACCTATTTTAAAAGTTACTTACTCAGTGGGAGCCAAGGGATCAAATTCCATTATCTCGTAGTAATGAGGTGACTGTGACTTGTTCTTTGATGCAGCTGAAGAATAAACACAGGCACATAAATGCAGATTTAAATGTAAATGAAAAGCATGCTTACTGCATGTTGCTTTTTTGTATCTTCCTGAAAGTAGCAGATTATCTTCTATGTATCTAGTTGCTCTAAATGCTAAAATGGACAGACATGTCTAAGAGAAGCCATAAGCAATATGAGATTTTGTCAGTTTGTTGCTGCTCCTAGTCTTTAACAGCCATTATGTAAAGCCCTTAAGTTCTTAACAAGAAAAATTTATCTCCATGGAAGTTAGCTGGTGTGCAGTATTTATTACCTGCTGGTGACGGTCCATTTAATGATGTAGAACGTCCAGTCTGCAGATTTACTGGATTCAGAGGCACTGGGCTTAAAAGAGTCGCCAACTAAGGACATCAAGCAAAAGAGTGCATAAACAGATTGTTCTGTGAGAACTGGTTTGACTTACGTAACTGCTGAATTATCTTTAGACTCTCAGACTATGACAGGTTAATTCTAAGGTCAACAGTTATCAATGTAATTAATCTCCATTTTCCACAAAAAGTTCAAAACATCTTTCAGTGTTATCTATAGGACATTTGTATAACTTACGTCTGTGTAATTTGTTACATTATACAGACTCAAAGACCGCAGTATTCACAATAGAGATACCTGCTTTTTCTCGTGGTTTAAAATAGGGAATATGCGTGTGTGTTTGGGGACTGCTTCTCATCTTTTCTATTTCATACTGCCTACCACAAAATAGCATTCAAATTCATAACATTATCTCAAAGCCCCTTCGTATTCTTTCCATTCCTTCGTCATGGGTGTTTTGTCTGCAGCATATGCCATTTGTCCTACAGTGTACTTGATTTTTAAGTGTTTGGGTTTTTTGGTGCATTGTTTGGGGTTTTTTTTGTTTGTTTGTGGGGGTTGTTTTTTTTTTTTTTAAATATCTTATTTGAGATAGGAAATACACCAGAGTAATGTAACAGCAGCCGGAGAAGATCTCAGCTTGCTTCACAGAGCAACAGCTTAAACACAAATAATACAGCAACTGCTTTCTGCAAACTCCCCTGAGATTGTGCTGGACCCAAGAAAATATGCTTTCATATTCGCATCTGTGGTATCAAAAGAGGAAAGTTGGCCTGGTCACCAAATACAGAGTGTTCCCTGATGTATGGAGAAGGGCCACAGAATAGATCTTTGTATAGCATTTGGACCGTAGTCGGGGTAAATCCAAACAGTTCTCATTTTGACAGTTGCCAGCAAAGAATGATTATTCTGAACATGAGTGTTACTCACATTGCTATATGAATGTCCAGCTGGGTTGCTTACACTATAGTTTTGTGCTTCAGTTGCAAATCTAGGAGAGAGTAATACATTGAAAGTAACTGAGAAACTATCAAAACTGTATATTCTGATTGTTACTTTTTTTTTTGCTGGTCTGTCTTTATGTCACAACTGAGAGCAGCATGGGCAGGTGGGCCAGTGTCCCATTTGCATAAAAAGCAAGGAACTACAAGGAAACCTCTCCTATCTTAAACTCTTCTTACTGACCTGTACAATTAATCTTTTCCTCCCTTTCACAGCAGCATTGGCAACGCTCAAGCAGAAGGTCATATATATCTCAAGTATGTTTTGACTGTTGAGATAAATTTATGTCTATGACTAAACAGTGCTGCAGGAGTAGCGTATTTTTAAGCATGTTAAGCAATGTCTAGCACACAAGTAGTTTTCACTTGTTTTACTAGTGTGTAAACTAATGTGTAAAAGTAGTAAATCTGTGTTCTCAGAGCTTTCTATAAACTCATTAGATGAATTACAGAGTACTAATACCTCTGAAGATCTGTTACCTGCTGCCATTTCTTGATAAGAGATTACTCACGGGAATTGCTGAGCTTTTGCAGTAGTTGCTAAATCTAGCTGTGGATAAATTGATGGATGATGCCTGTTTTTATCTTCAGGGTGTGCAGATATGCAATCTGAAATTCAAAGCAATAATTAATGATCATTTAAACATTATTAAGCAAATGTTAGTTACTTGTATTATGAACATTGAAAGGGTAAAGTTTTGTTTGGAAGGCATACAAAGAATCTGAAACGAATTGCTGTTTATTACATGAAAGGCAAAATTTTAATAACTCTGAGAAGGTTTTTACGTCCTTAAAATGTCAGAACGACATCAGTAGTGCTATACATGGTAGATACCACTTAAAACTCCTTAAAACTATTTCTAAAAGATTAAAATGGAATTATAGGCATTTATTCTGGGCAGGACATTCTCACCTTTAACTTCAGTATACGGACTCCCCTAGAGTGGATAAAGGAGGGGCTTCTGCAAACAGTAATTCAGGGTACCAAAGTTAGGAGCTTTACTCACTCCTCCAACTATGAAAGAAGTCTAAAGTTAGAGGAGATAAGTACCTTTCTCGACGTGAACTGTTTCTAACACCAAGTGCCTCCTGAAAAAACCTTAGAAAAATCAAGAGGGCATGACAAAAGTGTGTCTGCATTTCTTTCTTCCAAGCCTACAGAACAGGCAAGTACCACAATGTTTTACAGGCTTCACTGTAATAGAAAACAGAGCACGTTCTACTGTTCAAATTTATGTAATGGGGGAAAAATATGATTGCTTCCACTGTAAACAAATTACACAGAACCTTATACTATCTTCCATTTTTTCCTATGTACAGACATCAATTCTCCTTGTAAGGAGATTTAAGGAACATCCTTAAAGTTAAGGAGTATCTTTGTTTTTTTTCTTACAAGGAGCTTCTTGATTCCTCCACTAAGCTCTTGTTGGTTTGCTTTAGGAACCCAGACTGCAAGGGAAATGTGCATTCATCACTTACTAAGGCCTGAAGGAGACACTGCAGAGTCAGTTTGCACCACTGTTGACACAGGAGATGGAGAATCTAAGGAGAGGTCAAGTAGATCACTTGAGGGAGCAGATGGCTGTTTCCTGTACAGCTTAACATTTGAAAAGGAATAAGGTTGTTTGAGTTTTTTGGTTTTGTTTGGTTTGGTTTTTGTTTTTTAAAAAAGAACTTGTATCATTTTAAACAAATTGCTATTTTCACAGAATATAAACTTTTAAAATCATAATACTAAAAATTGGCAAATATGAGAAAAAACCAGGATTATGTTTTTTTTTTTTGGTGTGAAAGATAACTAATGAAACAAAAAATGCTTTCCAGAAAAGATCACTTTCAGCAAGGTTGCTATTTCAAAAAATTAAGGAAAACAATTCCGAAGTAGGCAATAGGACTCAATTCTAAAAGGCAACTGTGAGCTTGTTTAGATACAGGTTTGATACCGATTTTCTGATTAATCCTGTACAAGTATTTTCATGCTACTTATTTACGTTATTAAGATTTGACACATACTTAAGGAGATTGATTTTTTTCAGTCCTGTTTTGGATAGGAAAAGTTCAAAATCACAACAATGTTTCCTAGAACACAGAAAAGGGTTCCCTTTGTTTTTCCTGTGAATGTGTTAGAATTAAAAATGTAGCCAACCAAAGATTTCAGTAAAACCACACGCTTGAATCATATGGGTTTGGTCACACCAGATTAAATAAATAAATATGATGCATTTTAAACTTGGAGACTTCTGAATAATATAAAAATGCACAGACTGCACCATTTGGACTATTAACTAATCCAACAGTGCATCCATCAAGCAAAAACATCCACCTACATAGCCAGAATGTAGTAATAGTGGCTTTTCAAGGAAAACAAGATTGTCTTCTATCTTTTTTTAATAATTGTCAGCTGTATTTCAGCATTCACAATGCAGTCATTTTCATATTGTGTCCTAGATGACTACACAATTATGGCTTAGCAGAAGCTGAAACATGTGCAAAACTACTTTGGGCAATATAATTAACAACCATAATTATCAATCAATAAAGGATAGTCATTAAAGATTTGCTACAAGCCTTTATTCACAAATCAGAAAAAGCTTTAACTCAGAAAAAAGTCTCAGTAATAGTGAATTCTGATAGTGTGATAGTGTTTCAGTCTATAAATGCTTAATAGAGGACAAATGAAAAGAAACATTATGGTTCCTCATTTTGTATACGGCAGATAATAGTGCTTAGCTGTAGAGGTAACAAACCAGCATTTGAATAGATCTCTCTCTCTCTCTCTCTCTCTCATTTTTCCTGACCAAGCTTAGCTCTTAGACTTGACATTATTTGCTACTTCAGTTACCTGAATTTGCATGAAATTCTGCAAGTGAGACTTCAGAGAATTGGTAAAAGTAGTATCAGCCTGCTGTCTCCTGTACCTCTCAACTAGAGAATAAAATTCCGCATACATCGAAAGCGTATTTTTCACAATGAACAATGGATGTTTACAGTCCTGCAGTTCACGAGTTCATCTATAATTACTCACCTCTGTGCGTTCACGTTGTATTCTCTGATTCTCCAAAAAACGAACTCTGTTTCGAGAGAACCTGTTGGAAGTTGCAGAGTTAAATGTTCATTCTGACATTTCTGTGATGTCATTCATAGGAATATGAAATCAGTTATAATCAAAGTTTGATTATCAAAAGACTCCAGAGGCGCCAAACAAGCACTACAGGTGCTTTTCTCTGGGGCACTTGTCTCTGCACTAGCAATTTGACTCACTCTTCTCCAGGGCTGTGGTCCTCTGATCACCTATACTAACATCAGTTAGTTGTTCTTGGGCTCACTTTTGGAGACAGCCATCTGTTTCTTCCAAAACAAAAACCAAGGCACAGCTGACAATAAAGTTTGCCTCTGTTCATGCCAGATAGGTAACTATGAACACAAATCTGGCTCCTTCTGACCAGAACACTCTTCCAACTGAGTCCCAGGAAGCTGCCTGTCCTCAGAGGTCCCCACATTCCCTCATGCCATCTCTAGACAAACCAGACGCCTATTCTGGGACACAGCCCTCATTAGTTCAGGCATTTGAAATAATTTAAAAAAAAAAAAAAAAAAGGAAACCAGAAAATCCACCTGCATAAATATTTATGTACTGGGAGTCATAACAGTGCTACACTGGGTCCGGAGAAGACCCAGTCAAGTGATATTCAGCATTCGTAAGATCAATCCACTTCAGAAGCAAGAGCCCTAAGCGGTATGGACATGAGACTGTCTGCACAACTGCATTTGCTGTTCAGGGTTACCATACTGGTGAAGCCCACAAAGATAGTATATATGCAAGGAGGAACAGAAATAAAAAAAAAACTTTCCAACTGCAGAAGATAAATATTTATCTGAAATACAGGAAGAACCGAAAAGTTGCGAGAGCCACTAGAGGGAGTCATGGCTACATACACAAGGCCAGTTATTGCACAATGGTGATTGCTCCTCATTTAATTTGGACTCTACGTTAATAATCAGTAACAGAGAATGCAGCATGACTTGTCTTCAAACAATACACATAGTATGAAACAGATGTAGCTAGTTAAAATCAGTTTGTCCTTTACAAATCTCATTGTTCAGAGAGAGTTCCAAAGAATAAATCTTCTGCAACAAACGTTAACCAAATACATTTTAATACTTATCAACTTTAAAGTGCAACGCATCTGCGCCCAGGAAGACTCATTACATACAAACCATAACATTACAGTACTAAAACGCAGTAGTTTTCTGTCCAGTTTCACAATGGCCAATTAATTGCTCCCTCAGTCACCAGGTGAGTCTTTCATAAGGAATTTATTGAATTATACCCACAAGCTACTATTCATAGTTCAAGAGGTTCTTGACCTTGCCCATATCCACCAGTTGTAACAAAAATGTAAGCCCATATCTGACTTCAGTGGATTTACAGAAGCTGAACAGAATTCTATTTTTGCTTTACTAAAATGAAAAACTTCCTAAAGCAAGAAGTGAGCACACAATTCTTTCAAGGCAGTTACTGTAAAATATGCTAACACTGCTGTAGACATAAGATTTAAGGATAAACGAAAACTAAATGTTGTAAAGATTAGGCCCAAAATTTGTACCATAACACTTAAAATAATTAGTGATATTTTCAGTGCAGCATTCAGAAGAGGTTTAAAAAGAAAAGATGACTAAACTCTCTAAATCTGCTAAATTTAATAATGAACCATTGCACTTGATGCACAATGGTTTCTAGAACATTTCTTAGCCATGAGGAGATAAACTACTTAACATGGAAAGCTAGTTCCCGTTAAACCATAATACTCTCCATGAGTTTACTCACCGTGATATTTTTGAGGATAATACTGGAATTTTGAGTTTAAAATTAATTTCAGTTTTGCTAGCATCTAGTCATGCTACCAATGACATAACAGACAAATATACAGGATGTCAATGCAAGCACTGCGGTGCTTCCATGTGTGAAAGAAAGAAACATTTTCTGCTGTAAGACAAGTAAAGTAGAACAGCATGTTTCCATCCAGTTGAGAAAAGCAAGCGACTCTCTTAAGCATGCAATGAGGCAGATTGCTATTCCATGGCCGATTTCTGCAGTAAAGCTGTCAAAGTTGTTTAGAAAGGAGAACAAGTATTCTTTTCTGGAAGCATATACACTTAACGGAGATAAGGACCATCACCAGTACCAAAGGGTTTGTAGCAGACTGATGACGAATTCACTGTGCAGTACCAAAAAGGAATGTCAAATTCCAAAGTGATTTTTGTTTACGTGCCTCCATCTGATTTCCTGTCTATGCTGTTAACTTGTTTTATCCCACTCTAATGGTTTTCTGACTACCTTTATGAACCATTTCTGAAGTGTTTAAGGGAAGGCAAATACATAATTTTCTCTTTTTGCCATCATGTTTCTTTTCTGGATTTAAGGATAAAATCTGTCTCCTTGTGGAGGATCAACATTAGATGTAGGGACCGCTGATGTCCACTAAGTGCGCTTATACAGTTAGGATACCAAATGTGAGGAGAGAGGCCCCAAACTTACCTTTCATGTCCCAGGAGGACATTATTCAGATCTTCATTTACTTGTATTAACTCAACTATCACATCTTCATTCTCCACTGTCACCAACAACTCCATGATCCTCTCCTGCATCATCCGACAGGTCTTATACAGTTTCTGCCCGAGGCAGGGGAAGGAAGAAAAAAAAAAAAATCGTAACTGTGGTCTCCCAGTTTGTCAGTTCTGGAGAAGAATGATAAGACACTTCAGCGCTGCAGACTCACGGGTAACATTCCCTAATTTATACAAACCGCACGCATACCAAACATTGCAAATAACATAATTTTCATGTCTTTGATCTCTGCAAGGCAGGTTGACACTCCTATCATCACAGCCAGCATTTCTACCCCTACCCAATCCCTACCTCTTGACCCACCTTTATTTCTAAAGATACATCTGTCTCTAAAGTCTAAATTACAAATTGCAAAATAACAAAGACCCCTCTGGGTGATGCAGAGCAAATTTGATTTGATCTTGTTTGAAGCTGATTAAACTCAGCAGGATACTTCACATGGACGTAATGGATGTGATCCTGTTCAATGTCTGCTTGAAGAAAAGACAATAGTAGTCTAAAGAACAGAAGTGCTCTGTGATGCAAGTCTCTAGCTCTAACTACTCCTCTAAGTAGGGAAGTTTGGATACACTTAATCTATGCACTTTTTGAGAAAGTAACACAAACCTAGCAGAATCAGCTGATAGGAGAATTATGAGAGTTTATTAGGCAGAATTTTGCATCATTGCCAGTTGAAATGGAAGACAGCTTATTTATATTCCTCTTCACCGCAGATTTTGCATGTTCAAAGAAACAAACTCTATCAACAGGAACTTCAACTCAGCCAACATTTTTTTTCCCCCCACAGTGCATTTGCAAATGCCGGCTGGCTCTGCTTAAGGAAAAAAAAAAAGAGGGAGGAAAATCACTCTATTTGCACACTGCTATTCAGAAATTGCTCTGGTATTATTTTCAAAGTGATCTGATTTTTCCTCAGAAAACATATACTTCATGTAAATAAATTACTGTATTTATGTAAAAAGAAATTTTGCATCCCTTTGCCAAATCTGCCTAAGGATTACAGAGTACTGTACCTTTCAGTACTGTACCTTCATAGCCCAGGATAAACCACACAAAAATGTATTCAGTTTAATATCTGTAATTAAATTTAAAACCTCTCCAACTCCACACTTTACTACCTGATCCGCATATAAAAAAATGGGTATTTCTTATGACTCCATTATACAGGCAGACTAGCTCCTTTGTAAATATCAATATTCAACAGAGAAGGAAATTGAGACACTCATTTCAAGCATGGATTTGCTAGGCTTTGCTCCTACCCACAATGATGCATGCACTCTTATGTTTTGAAAACCGGAATTTTACAATGATGGACTATCAGCTGGTATAACAATCATCAGTGGTTCCAGTGAATTTGTGCTAATTCTTATCAGCTGATGATCTGGACCCAAATTCCTGCATGTTCATCAAATATGTCTATTCACTATCCAGTACAAAAGTTTGTTACTCTTCTTGGCTGACACTGAGCTTTAGCTATTCTTTAACTACTGTTACTGGTCATCACAATATTTCAAGTGAGATCTGCTATCTTAAGCCTTGTCCAAAAGAGGGTGGAGAAAGGGAGGAGCCTAGCCACTAATGAAGCTACAGAACTGAAAATATGTTGCACTGAAAGTTTACCCTGTTACAGTTTTTATTGAAATACTCCAGATAATCAGAAGGACTGAAACTAATGTCTCCAACTCACTCAAAGCCTAAACAAGCGGCTCTATTTTTAACAAAGGACTTTGTTCTCTGATAACAAAAGCCTAATCCAAGCAATCCAGGTACAGTTACAAACAAAAGGGAACATGAAACATTCTTAAAGGAAAAGGCTAGCCATGCTTGATGCTTTATACCACTCAGTGCATAGGGGAAAAGAACAGAAAGAACAACAGTGAAATAAACATAGAAGGAATGAGTTTTTAGTCACTCTCCCACAAATGGGAACTCCACACCCTGTCCTCAAACTTTTGCCAACAATTTTATTACTGGGAGTGTCAATAAGAATCCACTGGTTTACTGTGGGCAGCCTAATCTGTGCGCCCACATGCAGAAGGGCCGTAGTAGGAGACATGAAATGAAAGACATTGTTTTCCTGTTCCGCAACCAAAGACACTTACCTTGTCACAGACTGGACAGAGGTGGCCAAGTATATTAAACCAGTGTATCCTCCTACCTGGGATATCTTTCCCTGGTTGGTTAAATCATCAAGACCAGTTTGCAACTTGGCAACCTCCCTGGTGGCAGTACCACTATGGAAGTAAAGTATTGTGCATAGAACAGCCATAGATTAGCCGGTGGTGTCCAGTGCTGGAACAACCTATACTCAAATCCTTTAGTGCAGGCAAAGCAAGTCCTCTGCAATCTATTGCTACACCTGTTTGCCTTGCCTGTGTTTAAAGTCTACTCTGCTCAGATCCTTGCTTCATAGGCCCTTCCTCCTTGGACTTATAGCTCCACAGTTCTCTGCAAAAGAGACAGTGTTGGAGATGCGAGGAATTTCCAGGGGAGCAAAAACCACTGAGAGCTTGCGTCTGTCTCCTATCTGGTTCTCCCAGACCAGCAGCGCTGCCTGTCATTAAAGATGAGAGACAGTGGCAAACTGCTGCTCTCTCTCCATATCTCACCTCCAGTTGTGAACCAATCCATAAATGGACACCGCTGAACAGCACGGCCTTGAAGGCAAACTGACAGCACCCAACGAGGGTTCCTTGCAAAGGAAAAATTCTCCACTGGGCAACAGAAGCACACGGAAGTCTTGCAAAAATTAGATCGGTTCTCCAACACATTTAACGCTGACAAATTACCAAAAATGCTTCCTCACCATAGAAGTCTGGGGGTCAGTTTAGAAACAGAATGATGTGATAAAAGCTTTTTAAATTCTTGCAGACAATATGAAACAGAAAAATGTCCATTGACACAGGTCACTATTGAAATGCTAAAGTAATACTGCACAAGCAAGTAGAAGAAATGGCATTGCAGAAACAAGAATGTCTGCATGTTCACTGTCAAATCTAAACTGGACTATTGCAATACACTTCCTTCAGGCTACACTTTAAGAGCACGTGGATTCATCTATAGCACAGCAAGCTCCCAGTCTTTGAGGTCATGCACATAAAAATCAATGTTTCATATTCTTCACTGGCCTTCAGTCTGCCTTTAAGGTACGGGTAATAATGAAGAGAGCACTGAAAACTCCAGGACAGATAAGAGAGAGAGAGACTGTGTCATCATCTGTTTTCCCACAAGGCAACTGCGTTCAACTGGAATGTTCTCGGGGCTGTTTGACAGAACATGCTTAACAGAGAACGCTTCATTATGAAATTCCTTTGCCCTTGGAATTCCCTAGAGCTCAAATTTGCATTGCAAGCTGTATTGTCCTTTCCTGACTATCTAGATGTCAGGGGAAGGTGAAGACAACAGGAGAAAGCTGAGCAAAACCAGAGATAGAAACCTGTTGTTGGATTCCATATGGCAATCTGAATCCAGATGTTACAAGAAAGGATATAGCATATTTTAAAATCAACTTTGACCAAACCAAACCTATTTCCCCTACCAATGAATTATTGCATACCTGTAAAAGATTCATATCATCTGGATTTTCAGAGCCAGGAACATTTTCTTTTAATATTGATGACATGACTCTCACATTCATTTTTGCCATATCCAGTTCACTGTACAGTTTCCCAATCTGTTGAGTTCAACAGGACAGAATATTGTGTAGGTGAACAGAGTGAGCAGAATAATTCTTACCTCTAATACGTACTTTCTTCCCCATTAGGTATAGTATGGGCCTAATTAGCATTATTTTATTCCGGTGACATGCCATGAAAATGAGTAGAATTAGCTCAGCTTTTATATGTGCAATCAAACTAAGATCCAAGTCTGATAGTACTACTCATTTCCTTACAGTTAATCCCTCTCACTAATGTTACTGTTACTCTTTTTAGTTACCTACAGGCCAAGCAAGAATGGAAGTGAACTGTCCTTTCCCTTCTACTTTTTAGAATAATCTCACACAAGCCTTATGCAAAAGTAATCTTGGCTTTCTCACTTATCTTTGAAGTAACTTTTATCAATTTGTATAACAACATCCTAAGAGATCATTAGATATTCTCATGCTTGAGTAAATGATCCCACTTTCTGGTTGGGGTACAGCCTGGCATTTATTGAACTCACTTCTGCCTACTTTGCTTTGGCACACCACCATATAAAACATCTTTGGGAGAACGGGAGAACCTAAAGTGAGAACGTAAAACCACAAATATAGAACTATGCCACTTGAACTGATGGTCCCTTCTGGGGTCTATGCACCCAGGTTGTCGAAATCACACGTTACCAGTACATTTCAAATGGACCTGCCCTGGCTCTAAACCTGTAGTTCTGCACCTGCTCAGGAGTCAACAATAATGTTGGGCCTGTGGGAAGAGGCAGTAAAGAACGTTTTGCAGGATTAGCAGAAGATGGTGATGACTTTGTAGAAGGCTGAGATGAAGTCTGTGGAAAGACAAAAGAGCAGAGCTTGGGTTTAACAAGAAAATTGAAGCAGACATATAGATAAGAGAGCTACAAAACATCTTTATCAGACTAGACAACTGGGCATTAGCGTTCTCATAACCAATGCTCCCAGGGAATTTGTTGAGCCAGGTTTATTTACAAGAATAAATCTAATGGCTATTTTGTAATGAAACGAGGCTTGGAATTCAGGTATCTTTTAAATGGGTTTGCAAGTAAATTCCGTCGCAGGATAAAGTGGGAATGGCTAAGAACAGGCGAGCTCCTTGAGCTCTTAAGCCATCTAACAGCCAAGAGTCCTCTCCAAAGTGCCACTGCAATTTTACAATGACGGATAATTTAGAATGCGATCACACTTGGAAGCAATGGAAACGTTGGGGGGTTAAGTCTGGGTCTCTGCAGAAGATGAACTACAAAGGCCTTTTGGATTGAAAAGCTGGAACGCTTCATCTGCAGAAAGCTTCACTTGCATTGCATTTGAATTGACTGCAATCAAAAAAAAAAAAACAAATCCAAAACCCAACCTGCACACGACTACACACTTCAAGTCCTTCACTTCCTAGAGACTGAGCTAAAAATTGTGTTCAGGTCTGCTGTTGCTGAGATCAACAGAAGGTTTGCCACCGATTTTAATTATCAGATACATGCGGTAGACAGAATCTTCTTTACTGTACTCGGTGAGAAAAAAAAATTATTGTCTATTGAGAGCATTCCCCACACAGCTTGATCAACCAACCTTTAAATACATAACCTTTTGTACACTCCACTATTCAATCAACAAATCAAACTCTGGACAAATCTGAATCATTCCTGTCTGCACTGATTATAGACATCTAATTCTGTAATTGCAAGATTGCACCCAGTGGTGGATGGCTTTCACACTTACCGAAACTCTTGTGCAAACTCTTCTAATAGAAAAAAAATTCTGGAAAGAATGCCTTTAAAACATGTACTGTATTTTCCACTGATGTCCAATGCTCAAGCCATACTTACATTTAATGTCCTAGATGCTACACAATGATACCTATGACATATACTTAAATAACATTTATTGTGTACAGGCTGTGCAAACAGCTGGAGAGATATATAGACAATAATATTTTCTCACAGATTTCTACCTCTCTTGGTTTAATTTTAAAGATAGATAATGCTCATAATTCTGAACAGTACATGTTTTCGTGAAAATCTTACTCATTTTAGTTGAGGCTTTCAGAAGTTGCCAAGTTTAGAGCACTCAGCTCTCATTCATTTTGAGGTAAACAGCGTGCCCAAATCCTTTACACACTTTGAAAGTCTCAAGAGATGCTTCCTTTTTCAGAACATATCCACCAATCTGTGGTTTGAAATAAAAACTATTGTATAGGCCATGTTTCTTTGTTGTTATCTTAGCTGTTATAATTGAAACTGATTACTGCTCACATGCTTAAGTAGGTTGGTCATATTCTGCCCTGGAGCATTTAAATTAAAAAAAAAAAACCAAAAACAAAACAAACACACCTCCTTTGTCTACAGAGCTCATAGAATTAACACATCCTGTTTCTGATTTACAATGGTTAATGAAGTATCCTTGTGTATCCCCACCTTAGGTCCCCCTCTGCTGGTGTCAGAACATGGAAACTCCACTCCTTTCTTCAGCAATTCTAGATAAACTTCTTTTACTTCGCTCACATCCACCATTCCTTGGAAACCTCGGGCCCATGTCTGGTTTTGAAATAACACGGACAGTAAGTGTCACAGAAATGGACAGTCAGTGGGTCAGACAAGCCCTTTTGAAACATGTGGTCCTAAAGGCAGGTCATTCCCTCCATCCACTCCAGCTAACTCCATTCAAAGCAGCAGGAACCACAAAAGCTCCAAAGTTACCTCTCATCCTGCTTGCTAAGTGCAACCACAGAGGGAGCACATACACAGACTGGGAGGGGAATATAAAAGGTGGAGGTTGACAGTTTTCCAATTCTCTCCCTTTGTCTTCCAGTCTGTGCTACTCCTGCATGAAGCAGGAGCAGCAGTAAAAGTCTGCTTTAGGAAGAGGTTCCCACGTGTATGTTACAGTACAGAAATCATTAAACGTTTACCATATAGCAGAGACACAAACACTTACTGTTTACTCTAGACTTACCATGATAAAGGTCAAGATTTTCTCCTGCATGTCAATTGGCAGATTGTATCTTGGATTCAGTAGTTTCACCAGCTTGTCTTTACAGAAATCTTTCTTCACAACTAAAGACTGGAATCTTGGGCCACAATTCTCTATACACATGTCAAGCAGCTGCACACACAAAAAGCTTCTGTTACACAGATACTAGGGGAAAAAACCCAACTTGACTGCTTTTCTATCCTTTTGTTTAATTTGTTCCAAGGTGTTATGGGGAAGAGTACAAATGGATATGAACAGATTATTGCCAGCTATCTCACTAGAATGTCTGATAAGGTTACTACAGGGAAACAGTAGCTCACTGTGTGCACCATTATACCTACGCAATACAAAATGAGATGTGTTAGCCAGAGTTATACTATTTTTAACAGAGAAGTATGGTCACACTTGTTTCCATGTCATAGCAGTTACTGAATATATGTTACCTTAACAGCATGAAATCTGTCCATAGCTTAAAAAACGACTTGTACAGATTCAGTAATACAATTCACTCACTGCCTAGCACATAGGTACCCTAGTCTGACAGATTCTGAAGAGCTCTACAAGACAAGAAAATAAGATTACTAAATGACTCTCTTCTAATCTGCCCTGTAAGTGAGAGACTAATGAAAAAATAGAAAAGAACAAATTCAACAATTCGGAATGCAATTCCTCCACACGTTTTAAAGGTCACATTGATTTGAAACAGAATAGCTGAATTGTTCCAATTGTCAGATTCATCTTCACAAAAGAAGTCTACTTCCAAAACTCTGCTTGGAATGCTCAGAGTAGGATCCCTGCAAGCAACATATCTGCCCTATCAGATATAACAGTATGTGATAATGACATAATACTTCTCCCTCGTACACCTGGAGGTGGCCAATTACAACTCCCATTTTACAGAAGAGATATCAAAAGCTGTCCCTACGTCCCAGTCATCTGAAATCAGGCCAATACAAGTCTTGATAGGAAACTGGGGTCAGTCAGATCAGGTGCGGAATCAGGAACAGAACTCATCTTGCCTGGCTCAAACCTGGAGATTGACCACAGGACTACGATGCCCCATGTAGAGAAAAATGGTCATTCTTGTGCTTTTTGCTCTTCAACCGTACCCTCACTATCCCTTCCAATTTAAGAGGGAAGATGGAAAGGTGAAAGCAAAAGGTAGAAATTAACAGAAGTTTGCAAAATTTCATGGTTTTCGAGACAAAACTTCCCCTGAATCATGCTACAGACAACATACATTCTCAAAAGGATACACAGATTTAAAGGACACTATGGTAATCTTGATAAAAGTAGGTTAAATATACTTTCAGAGCAGACTATATTTGAATAAGTTGAAACCATTTTAGTAACTCATCTTCTAGCCTCCGGGCTTCGGGATTTTTCTCCCAGTGTGATCGGGAACTTATGGAAGAGGTTTAAAACCAGAAGAAAATATATTGCTGAAATGAAAACAGGGTAGAACAAAGAGACACTGGCAGACTGCTGTGCAAAAAACTGAGAGATAATTACAAAAAAATCTTGGCTCGAATTGTTATTTTTCCATTTGAAAGAGTACATGAAACATATGCTAATAGGCCAAGTCATTTGCCTGTGCAGTACTTCAAAGACGGTCTGTATAAAACATTTTTAACCCAGTGCATGGGAAATTTGGTATGCTACTCCCTATTATTAATTCCCTACTTAAGGGACTGAGTATTTACCCTCTGAATGAAAGTACTGAGCTAATGGGCTAAATCCTCCACTCAATTATGCCAGTACAGCCCACTCACTTAGAGTGAAACTAAGCTGGTGTAAGAAAAAGAAGAATTTGACTCAATTATTTTTAACTGGACCATTCATGAACAAGCCACTTCCATGCTAATAACACCTTTCATTAGAACTTCAATATGGTTATTTATCGTTGCAAATAGGACTTCACCTTCCCAAGCAGTTCCACTGGAATGAATAGATCCAAGGTGGCCAAGTCAACCACTGCTCCACATAGCACAATGGAATCTCAATAGAAACATGTTTTAATAACAGAACGGGCAAATTAACTTCAACCAAACCATTAAACTTCCTCTAAATGATAGGCAGGACCTGAGAACTGCTGGAATTGACAGAGCTGCTATGTTCCAGGCTAGCTGATACCAGACATCCAGCTGAGAAGGGATCTGCACTGAGCAAAAAGGAGGGCAAATTGCACAAAGCCCTCTGGTTCACCTGACAGCAAAACTAAAATGATAGACGGCATCTGAACAGAGGTGAAGACAAACTGTAAGGCAGAAACAAAAAGGGGAGGAGAAGTTGGTGGGGCTAACAAAGTCAACTACATTCCTTATCAATAGAGACCTCACTGGGAATTCAGTAGGACTATCTGCTCATCTAAAGCAGCCAGGTATGGTCCATAAAGCTGTAATGAATGGATGTAGTCTGTGATGGATACTTCTCAGACCTAAGGTGAATGCAAGAAAACACAGTTTGCTTCTTCGTATTTCTGACTTAAAGAAGTCATTAATCCAACTCCAGGATTACACTCTACTAAACATATACCGATGTCTACCCCGTAGAGTTTTTGAACAAGACACTATTTCCAAGTGCCAGCATTTAAAAGAAACCTGTACGAGCAGCTTTTTCAGCTGCTATTCATCAATTACAGCGTAGAGGCTATGTAGACTTTACCAAGATTCTGCATTTCAAAAATGTTAATTTTTCAGAAGTCTTGAATTTTTCAAAAATATATAAAAAACCCATCAAAATATGGATTTCTTTTGCTCCCACTCAACGTCTTTTTCTTTTCCTGTTTGCCCGTATATACCATAAAGTGTAATAAAATTGAGTAGGACTTTTTTGACTGAGGAGCTGGAGGGCTCCCTCATGTTTTTGGTTTTTAGATCCTCTGCTTTGTGAAATGTTAATTTAAGGAAAAATCTGAAGGCCACATTTGCCATGCTAAAATTTTTTTACATACGAAAACTTATAGAATATTAAAAGGAAAACCAGAAAAAAGCCTAAGGTAAAAAAAACAAACTCCAAAATTTAAATCTAACCCATGACTTTCTTTAAAATATTTTCCAACAATGTAGTGCAGAAATGAAACAATAATTCCATCTTAAATTCCTTCCCACTGCTTTGTATGTAAGAGTGTGTGTGCGTGTGGACACAGCTATAGAGAGGGACACATTCAATAAACTACTTCCTCACGTGCTGTTCAGTTCCTAAGGCATTACAGGCACCAGAACCGGGGCACTGCAGTAAATGCTTTACAAAACCAAGGGAGATCTACGGAGACAACTGAACAGGTGTCTAAGCGTTCACTACGTAAACAGAGTTTACGTATCCAAAGTCTATTAGTAACAAGTAGTCAACACACACACACTCTCTGTTGGATTCCTGCCTAGAAGTTCTAATCCTCTTGGCTCTGATTGCAAAATCACCACTGCCAAGCCTGATCTCTTGGCTTTATCAAAGACTGTGCATGAAGCAACGTCATGGCTTGACACACATACACCTCGATCCACATGTCTTCACAAGCACCAGGTAACTTCAGTAGATCAGAGTACATGAAGTCAAGCCATAACCAACACATTATACGGCTGGCACTCACCCTTCTTCCTCCAAGTAAATAAATAAGCATCTCTGAGACAGAAGGAAGAAGACACTGTTGAGATTTAACACATCTCGATAACAGAATCGGGGCTAACACGTGCAGTCATGCTGCTTCAGATGAAGACTTTCACATTTCACTGCATGTGTGTATTCTCTGGGACTAAGCTCCTTAAGCAGTTTCATTAGAAAGATTAAATTCCAGCATTTCAAGGTTGAGTAAATAAAAGTGGATCAAAACACATTTCAAAAGAAAAGTGATTTGTAGATCTGTTGCCTTCTTAGTTGTATCTAATGTAGGTAGGAGAGACAATTTGATGTAGAATGTCAAAACTGGAGGACCACATTTACTGTAGGAAACACAGGCAATAACTTACAGTTCAAAGAGCCCTTATTTTTGTAGAATTTTTAAGAGATAAGAAGGGGGGCTTGTGTTTTAGGAATTGAAAATTATTTCTGTTTTCCATTTGCAATGATTTGCTGTTCCAATCTAAGCATTTCAAGATGGGAAGCAGGAACAATTTCATTAACGCAATCAAGAACCCAAAACAGAAGATATAGCACATAAAAAGACTGATTTGGGAATAAAGGAGTTAAAAGTCATAGATGGTCAGCAGTGAGGTCATCAAAGGAAAGGTTTTTCACCTGCTAAACTGATGGCAGTACTGGTAGAAAACCAGAAAAAGGAAAGGAGCCAGCGGCAGAGGGAGAGGCAAAGGATGGAAGCTCTTACCTAAGAACAAAAGCAGGAAGAGAGAGAGTTGGAGGAAAGGCTGGCTCTTATTTAACAAAACAAAACAAAAGATTAAGGATGTGATTGCCTGGCAGGCAGAGTTACATGTGTACATGTGAGTGGGTGAGAACAGACATGGAGAAGAGGCCTTGAACGGCAAAGAGACTGTGAGAACATGTTGACCTACAAGCACAATTGAAACCTGGTACACACTCCATCTGCGAGCAAATACAATGAGCTTCCAGGTCCATGTGATAAAGCTCTTCCTTGGATATGCCTGAAATAAGATCCTTCTCCCACTTTTATGTTCTTGAGAGCTAAACTATAATGTCATCTTAGGTATATCTGCAGAACAAATACCCAAAGAAAGGCTCCTAAATCTAAGCATTGAGTTATTGTCACTCCAGTTGACTGTGTCAGATCTTCAGAAAAGGACCTAGGTGCACAAAGACTGTAGGAGAAAGAAAGCAGATCTGATACAGGGATTGCAATCACAGTGGAAACACAGTGTTTCTGTTATGCAAACACACAGAAGACACAAAAAGGTGACTCATGAGACAGTGGAGGAGGAAGCCAGGAAAGAAGTGCGGAAATGGAATGAGCTGAAGGCATACATCGGTATGTTTAACACATTTATCTGCCTCTCTAACTTGTCAGGGGACACTTGGGCAATTGCTAAGTGACCTACAATTTGACACTATCAATCACCTATCTTCCTTAATCACTGCTCAGCGCATATTGATAGAGATAATGATTTTGCACAACAAATACCAAACCCATGAGTAATAGTACTCAGTGTAATGCAGACAGCCCCTACAACCTCAAAAAAGGAAATGGTGAAGAAAATACTTCTAGACAAATAATGAAAGACACAAATCCCCAACAACTTAAAATGAGGATATCCTCTCAAATGAGGATATTCCAGCTACTCCAACCTTTAGTCATAACATCTGAATCTTATGTGGCTTACCCTGTGTCTTGCTCCCTTGCTTAACTCACCATTGTCACCCTTTCATTGAAGCTTCTCATTTATATGCAATAACGCTTACCTTTACAAAACAGCTACCGCACATCCCACCGCACTGCATACCATGCTTAGTTTAACTAAGATCAGTACCACAAGGTGAGTAACAGATTGGTCAAATGTAGCTTTTATGTAATATCCCAACCTCCGTATCTTTCACAAACAGGTGGGGCACTCACAGAGGGACAGTCAGTGGAGTAAATAAGAACTATACTACTTCTATGTAGTGCAGATTTAAAAAAAAAAAAAAGCAACAATAAATTTAAGAATTTGCGTCATCTAGGACTCTATGGAATGCCAGCAGACAATCTGATCTGCACTGTGGTAGTGCTGTACACACAAACAACAAAGACAGAAAACATCCTGGAGAGTTGTGTCAGTGATAATTTACATGCCACCTTATCGTTTAAAATGTTTTCCTTCTTAGTGTCTAATTAATATAAACATAGCTGTACTTACAGACAGGGTAAGCCTGATTTCCTTATGGTTACAGTTTTTTGAAAGCTTTTTCTTTAGCGCCTTAACTGCATCTTTAGGCCTGTGACAAGAAATTAAGTAGAAGAAGTTACCAGGGAAGTTAGACTGTTTTTCTAGTTCATAACTTCATCCAAGAGCCAAAAATACCGGCCTGAGATACAGGACCAAAATCATCCCTGTATTTACACCCACATAAAACTAGAGCAATTGCCCCATTGATTTCAGCAAAATCACTTCAGCATTGAGCTAGAGTAACAAAGCAGTGAATCATGTTTGTTACTGCAGACTGTGCATTACTTCAGAGACTTGTGCAGAGAAATAAAGTTATTCTCCTCTGCAGACTCTCCTCCAAAATTACATTATTTTACCGTTGTACAATAGATTTACTTATCTAGCTTTTATTGCTACATAAGGGAATAACAATTGCCACCTGTATCAAGAGTTGACTGGTACCTATTTTTCATGTATGATGCAATTAAAAAATATTCTCCTGGGAGTGCTGTCAGGAGTAGGGGTGTCTTGGCTAACTTCCAATCTTATAATTGCAGGATGCTTTTAACTCATCTGAGTAATTACCATGTATGGATGGACAACCCATTCCACCCCAGAGATAGTGGCATTTCTAGCCTAGTAATTTCGATTTCTATATATACACCCCATATCTTTTAACTATCTATGTAGGAGGAAAAGGGTGGAAGATGGTATCTAGCTTATCACATGTGGGAAACAGTTTTGCCTGGTTAATATGGGCTATCTATAGTGTACAATCATTAGGGCCAGCTCAATGCTCATGATCAACAAAAACAAGACATCCTAAAGTCTCTTTAAGATCTCTCTAGAATCTAAGATGGATCAATAGAATGTTTCAATAAGAAAAAAGAAATCTTTGTTGAAAATATTTCAAAGCCAATGAAATTAAATGGGTACTTACCACGACCGCATTTTTCAGTTTGAAATGTTGTTGTACTTCATCAGAAAAAAAGAAAAGATTTCTCTATTTTTTTTATCCTATGGCAACAGAGTTGCCATACCCAGTCATGCCAGTAAAGCATGAAGTCAAAACAGAAGTGATGGATGGGAGCACAAGACGGGAGAGGAAAACCTTCCCTTGCAGAAAGCTATACTATATTCCACTCCTGCTTCTTGCTCTCTCTGAAGCATCTGGAAATGCTCTGGTCAGGAGCTGGATATTGCATTAAAATAACCATTTGCCTAATTAGATACAGCAGTTCTGCTGTTCCTAGTATCCTGTTACAGACTGTGACTAGTAGTAGTTGCCTAGGAGGAAGTTATAAGGAGTTCCTCTGTAAGCATAAGCTGTGCACAAGAGGAAGTAGTTTATTAAAAAAAGCTCTGTTGCATAGCAGCTCCACAGAAAAATGAACGCTGAGGGTCAAAGCGTGCTGTTGCTTATGGCAATGACCTGAAGGGAGTTATTACTGACCTTCCAAGCTCTAAGAGCCATGAGTGAAAGTGTGGGATCCGAAAAAATGAAAGGAAGGAAAAACTGAGAGAAAAGAAGGTACTTGTGCAGAAACTAATGCATACCTCATTCTCCTGGAGAAAGTTCTCCAGTCCGTGCTAAAATATGCCACTGCTAGCAGTGAGTGCTTGCAATGCAATGCTGAAGCAGGTCTTACATGGGAACAAATTTCCTTCTCCCCCTTTTACAGGTGGGAAACAGGAAGCACAAAGCAGCAGTGGCTGAGCAAACCAGAGTGTGGCCGTTCGGTGCAACAGGCCACCTCTGTCCCGGGTGCCCCAGGTACCTGCGTCGATACGATGGATCCCACTGAACAGAAACCCACCCAGCGCTTCACTCTTCTGCTGCGATGTAGGTTGGCTGAGAAGTTGCATAGTGGGGAACTCTGATTAAATTAAAAGCACAGAGTCTTATATAGTGTTGTATGCAACCAAATGCTCAAGGTTTTTTTCCAGGCTGGGTTTTGCAGAGGACAAGGGTAACCACTTAGCCTGACAAGCGGTACCAGTTATATGAAATACATGAGACTCAGGTGAGAAACCTATGCTATCACCTTTCTTCTAATGCTTGTCTACGAGGAAGAGCCTACAAGTGTAATCCCTGCAAGTCCTGACGGCTGAGCAAGAGGCACTGAGACAGGCAAAACTCTTCCCTAGGAACCAAAGATAGCTGCTCCCCACTGCTATTTCGTTTCGGGTAACCCTACATACGCATCGTAAGCCGACTGCTCGATTTTGCCCTGCCCTCGAGCAACGCTGGTGCTACCTCTGTGATGAAAAACCAGTTGTTCTCATTTCCCACAGGAGAAGGGGGCAGGTCACGGCACCGCCGGTCCTTCTG